ATCACTTCATGCTGTATCCTTCCGCTGTAAAAAAAAAAAAAAAAAAAAAAAGCTGAGTATATTAACTTGAGTTTATTGGTTTCGTTTAAGACATGGCACGACTACCGAGCTCGCTGGGATCCAATGGATTATGACAACATCACTGATCTATCACTGGGCCTCAGTGAAATATGGACGCCCAAGATTCTTCTGAGTAACGGGTGAGTTCAAACTAGCCCGGCAAAAAAGGTTCATTAAAACAAAGTATTCATGACGTAACTTTGCGTGCTTCGCATTCGTCTGAGTCTAAATGAAACGATAAATCGAAAATTTGTTTTTGATCTTGCGGATTGTTCACAGGGCAGGTGACAGGATTGAAAACCCTGTTAAGGAGAGCGTCTTTTTGGCCTTGTTGAAGTGGGATGGAACGGTCGAACTACAAGGTATGCATAAACTTTCAAGCATCGGACTGAGTATAAGTCTACAGGCTTGCGACCATATGGACTTTGTCAAGAAGTAACAGTCACAAAGGTCTTTTCCCGCTCTCGTCTTCTCCTACAAGTCTTATAATCAAGGCTCGATAATCTGAATGTTCATTTATCCGAATGTTCGGTAGTGCCAATTTAAAATAGGTTTTAAACAGTCCAAAGGTTCAATATTCCAAAGGGAAAAAAAGTTCTATGGATAGTGGTGCGGCATGGGGACAGAATTGTGCATTTTGTGATTAAAGGCATGGCAAACAATCTCAGAATTGGAGGCATTTTATATCTGACCCCTGGTGACCTAGGAGGATTGTAATATCTTTGAATATTCTAGTTATACCAATTGTTTTGGGAAACATCACTGTACTTTGGCCTAAGTCTATTCATAGTTTTCATACATTGTACTGACGACCAAATGCGAACAATCCACAATGGACCTCTGATGACCTTCCAGAGGTCAATGATCTTTAACGGCACCACATCTATACGATTCACCCTTTAGAGCTCACCTTTTTGAAGACACAAGTCAAAATGTGAAGTGCTTAATGCTATGAAAAGAATATCTGACCTCTGATGGCCTACAACGGGTCAGAGATCTTTGCGTGTCATATGTATAGATTATAAGAGGATTAACTATTCAAAACACTGATTTGTATTACCCACATCTAATTTGTTGGTATTCTTGCCTTGATATGGATTTTTTCAGACATGTAGACATTTCATATTTGACCTATGATGACCTTTTGCGAGGTAAATGAACTTTGTATACTCTGATTGCCGTAATGTATCATGTTTAATCTTTCAAAATGACACTTTTTCATGACCGAAGTCTAATTAGAGCTAAGTGAATATATTGTAATAATTATTCTACCACATGTCAAGAAGTCAGACCCCCGCAGATTGTTTTGCGTGAACTCTAATCTCAATTGCCCTTTCTATAAGGGCAGACGCAGACGCGAACGAATATAACCGGCACATTGGACAAGCATTACTCTCTTACAGTGACAATTGGGCTTAGTAAAAAGGTTAAAAAAGTGGTTTTCCAAGTCTATCTGAATACAGCAGCAGGGTGTAGTAAGTACACAAAAGTAAATATTGCTTGATATACGTACATTTTCCATTACAAAACAGACCCACAGATTTCTTTCTATTTCAATTCCATTATACTACACTGCCAATAAACATGGAGAAACGAGGTCAGAGGTCACCTCCACATTTTTTGTATGGTCTGAATCCATAACACGACTGTAAACTTATGGGTGAAATACCGTTCTGTGGCACTTTTGAGCCTTGGGTCCGACAAAATGGCGTTTTGACGAACAAATACGGTACATAACGGGTATCACTACGTCTTAATCTGATTTCTCAATATCTAAAAAAGTCAAGAATTTGGTCAGGAAAAAGTGGCATTTACAATTGTGTAAATTATATTACTGTCCTATACAGACTTTGGGTTTACTAAAGTGATGATCTCTCGTAAGGTTTCAAGAGGTTGAATATGAAATGGCCTATTTTTTCATGGCATGAAAAACCAACTTGCAAAGTTCATGCTTTTATCGAAAATTGCACAATCATTCAGCACATTGGAGCTATGTCACACCACTAAGACCGAATTGTCGTTATTCCGAAAATGCACAAGGCTGATAGTTTGAATATGCAATTAGTTCAATCTATCAATTCGGACTATCGTACCTAATTCTCGTTCCGACTAGGTAACACAATCGTCTACTTGGACTTTCTAACTTTGAGGTTGTTTAACCTTGTTATATATTTTTAGACTGTCGAACCTTCGAACTATCAAACTTTCGGACTAATGACCCTTCGGACTATAACGTCCCTTCGGACTAGCAACTCCTAGGACTATTAAACGAACCTTTGGACTATCGACCTTTCGCCTATTAACGAACCTTACGACGATCGGGCTGTCATTGAAATCAACACTGGTCTACCTAAGCTGATCCAGACCCCTGTACATTTTTAATGGGCCGATTTCTCTTTTTGCCTTCCGGACCATTTTTTTTTGCGCATGCATGCATGAATTTGAATTGTAAGGAACTGGTCTTTTGAGTTTACTTATTATTGTCGGTGACGTGACGATATGCTAATAGACACGATCTTACTGACAAAACGAAACAAGGGATGCTAAACCCCTAACCTTAGTTACCGACGCTTTTATCTTTTCTTGCAGGTCAGGTCATCCACAAGACACATTGCGCGATGCAACTGTCGGAGTTTCCATTCGATCGACAGACCTGCTGGCTGACCTTCTCATCCCAGAATATGCCGAAGGACTGATTACCCTTCGTGCCGGCGCCAGCAGTGTGTATGGTCTTGAGATAACCAGTCAGTGGCGCCCCCTCGAACTGTACGGCGTGGTGCCTGAATACGTTATTGGTTCACGAACCTACCAATTATTAGGTTTGAAATTCACCGCCGAGCGGCTTCCTCATTACACCCTGATGAATGTGGCCCTGCCATCTGGGGCCATGACGTTCATCTCACTGTGGGTCTTCTGGTTACCCCAGAGAGTGGAGAGAAAGTGAGTCGTTTTCCATAACCCTTAAATCGTCATCGTTTTAACAAATAGACTAGCTTTAGTCAAGTCCCACGCTCCTTCCCGGACATGTGACACATCCCGGATGCTGGCACGTAAGCAGCCTAGCAAAAGCGGCGAGGCCGCAAGGGCCTCTTCTATCTCGTGGAACTAATGACTTATTCATTTATTCAGGTTATATTAATCAAGTAATTTAAACCAATCATCAACGGTGGTTTGCGGTTACCAACAAAAGCGCGTGCGCCAGTCGACGGCTGATTTACGATGCATCATGAACGGTCCATGCATGCATCCCCACTCTGCTTCACCTTCTCGCGGACCTTCCATAGTGCATCATTAACATACGCCGTGCTGCTGCGAGCCTGATTCCCGGCCAAAATAATACGGAATGGTCAGAGCCGTCAATATTTGAACCGCAACCAACTGTTGGCATTGTTTTGTGCACAATGCAGTAAATTGTTCATGCACACACCTGAAGTTGTACTCAAAATACATCTTTTTATAAAGTTCGGCTTGATTGAATTTTCATTCTGCGTATTATCCGTTGCGGTATAAACAATGTCTCCAGAGGGGCGGGGAGCCGCAGATATCAGGGTGGACTGGAGCAGGACCTTTGTTTTGCCCAGGCTGATAGGCCAAAAAGGCGGGATGCCTTAGCGAATTATCAAGATCAGCTGAAAAGCCTGCTCGTTTTGTGACATGAGGGCACAGTCTAGTCGTCGGCAAAGATGGTTGAAGGTTGAAGAGCGAACCGTCCAGTCTGTACCTAAGGTATACACCGTCTTCGATGTCTCGGACAGCGTGGCTGAGGACACAGGTGAAAAAGAGATTGAAGAGCACAGGGGCCAGAGCGCAGCCTTGCCTCACGCCGTTAGAGATTCGAATGTCTCAGACCACCTTTTCGCCAGAAAGTACTAGGCCAGTCATTATGTCGTGAAATAGGCGGATCAAGCTCACAAATTTCATGGGACAGCCACATTTCCCCAAGAATGTCCACAAGGCCGATTTATGATATATTAAAAGACTTGGTAAGGTTGGTGAAGACTGAAGATTTTGTCCTTGACATTTTTGTAGACACCTGACGAACTGCGAAAATCATGTCAACAGTACTGCGGCCTAGCTGGCAGCCACACTGTGCCTCTGACAGGTTCTCCAGGCGATTGAGGATGATGCGTTGGATTTGCTGCCTTTGTTCTTAAAGAGGGAGACAATAGTGGTGTCCCTAAATCATGTGGCGTGTCTACTTCCTCCCAGATGCCGGTGAGAATGCTGTGTAAGGTTTCAAGTGCAACTGGCCCCACTGCCTTGCAAGATTTCTGCGGGGAATCCCATCCATCCTAGAAGCTTTTGCCGAGCTGGTTTTGCTGATGGCTTTTTGACCTCTTGCAGGGTGGGAGGGAAGTTGAGGCTGTCGATTGTGGATCTCTTGGGTATCTGGTCAGGGGCATCTGCACTGACAATGGATGGACTGTTGAGAAGGGTGCTGAAGTGTTTTAATCGTTTAATGACGCTATTCTACTTCAGCCATTGTGCCGTTCGCTGACAGGAGGGGGGTGGTGCTTGGTTAGGACGGTCCATACACTGCCCTATGAAGCTGAAGAACATATTAGAGTTGTTGGTGTCAGCGTAGCATTGGACTTTGTCTGTCTTTTTCTCACGCCACTCATCCTGCATACAGCGGAGGTCACATTGAGTCTGCCTCTGGAGCTGCTTGAAGCGGTCCCCTTTTGGAGGTGGAGACATGTTGTTCTGCTTCGCGTGAATGCTTTCCGCATGTATTCAAGAAGCTGTGAGATGGCCTCATCATTCTCATCGAACCAGTCCTGGTGGACTCTCTTCTTTGGTCCGGGTGTCGATTGAGCTGTCACCTTTTTCGTCGTTCTGAACTGTCCCAATGATGTGTTGTGCTTCCAGCCAGAGGTCCATGGAGGTCACCTTGTCGTCCAGACTGGTCGCGAAGCGGTCGCGCAGATCAGGATGTGCCAGCTTGCCTGTGTTGAATGACGGCCTGACGAGCTATTTTTTTCTCATTCCACTTTGGCCCAGCACGCCTTTCCAATTTGTTGCCAGTGCCGACTCTGGCATTAAAGTCGCTCAGCAGGATGAGTTTGTCTCGGACGGGTGGCCTTCAGAAGGTGATCGAGATCCTCGTAGAAGGTTTCCCTCACTTCATCGCTGCTGGCTAGCCTGTGGGCGTAGACGCTGATGACTGTAATACATGACGAGAGGGTTGAGGGGGAAAACGGAATATTACCAGCCGGTCGTTGATGGAGGTGGGGAGATATTGTA